GGTGGGATGGAGTGGGGTGGGGGAAGTCCAGGGTGCTTAAGAGTAGGAAATATCCCTGTGTTCCTGGCGTCTTTGTGAAGTTGTGTGTGAGCTGTGGTTGTAGGGTGGGGAGCAATGCTTTCTTTTTCCCTATGTACCTGACTCAGTACCTGGAGCTCCGATTCAATAAAGCGGTGCGGATCTGTGGAACGGTGACCTTCATCTTTCAGATGGTAAGTTGAAGGAACCTGGGGAAGGGGCCTGGACTTAGGCATGCTGGGCCCGGGGGAGCCTTCCCTGCTTTCACACGGGCAGCACTGGACCTCTTGCCAGTGGTCATTGTCCCTACAGCTCTCAGGTACAGCCTGCTGCCTGTTACATCCCATCTTAGCACAGGTCCTGGGGTGAAGGCAAGCCTCAATTTGGAAGCAGGGGGCGTGAACTTAGATCAGATGAAGGGAAGCTGTGGGGATGTTGGAGCTAATGCTCATCTTGTCTCTCTCTCACCTCCATCCCTCGCCCCCAGTCACATTTCCTTTTTCACGTTCAACAGGTGATCTACATGGGGGTTGTACTCTACGCACCGTCACTGGCCCTCAATGCAGGTGAGGAGTCACTGTCAGAGTGAACCAGCCTCTAACAACCAAGGGGTCTGTAGGCGCTATTGTACGGCTATCATATATAAAGTCATAGGAGATAAGAGAGATAGGAGAGAGTAAAGGAGTCAGACACATTTTATGGTGACATGTTCAACCCCAGGACCGCCATGATCCCAGCAGCCACGCCTGCGCAGAGAGAGTGAATATATTTTCCAATCACAGCATATATGCATTTTCGGGGATGTGCAAGCCCCCCTGATTACATCATAACGGGAAGGGGTTGTACAATAGGCATACATCAATCAGAGGGGGACAAGCTAGGGGCGTACATGCAGTCAGAAGGGGAGGGCCTAGGGGTACACAAGTGACTAAGATGGGGGGGACCCTAGATTCAAGATGGCAGCCTAAGGTTGGCCCTCCTTGAGTGGGCTTGACCCTGTCTCTGGGCTCTGCACCATTATTAGCAGGGAGTATGCCCTACTTAGAGTGGGACAGACTATACAGTCTGATTGCTCTAGATAGCTGGTACTCAGGGAGATCACCTCTAAGCAGCTTACATTGACCTCCAAGTGTTGTCATTTACCATGTGTTGCAAGGAGTGTCTTAGGCTTGTCATATATTTGGGGGGACAAGCTGGGGAAAGCCTTTCTATATCCCACAAGTCAGCACTTTGGCTTCTAGCCATGTTGGACTGGGAGAGCTCTGTGGGGAGGGCCTCGTCAGGGAGCCTATGCTCCCAAGAATGCGGCCTTGACCGGGGAGCTACATCCCTGGGTGGGCCCCTGGACTGGTCTGTGCCAGAGGAGGAAGCAATCTTAAAGTTCACCGCACTTGAACACGTTACCTTACCTCATTTGGTTAATCAACACCTTTTAGTAGTGTTCTGCAGACATCTTTTTTTCCATTGCAGTAAATGATTTATTTACCAGTGTCTTTATGCTAGGAGCCTTGGCGGCGTAATGGGGTACATGTTGGGCTGCCAACTGTAGGGCCAGGAGTTCAAAACCACTACCAACTGTGCAGGAGAAAGATGCGCTCTTTGCTTCCATAGAGGTTTATGGCCTCAGAAGCCCAGGGCAGCCCTACTGGGTCCTGTAGGGTCAGCATTGGCGTTTGGTCTTCATGATGCCTTTCTGAGTTAGGGATTCCTTGTCAGAACTTCAGGTCTCTTGCAGAGATAGGACCATGCTTTCCATTTGCTTTCAGTGACTGGCTTTGATCTGTGGCTCTCAGTGCTGACCCTAGGCATAGTCTGTGCCTTCTACACTGCTCTGGTAAGGGTGGGCATCCCAAGGGGGAGGGGGAGGAGATGAGGTAAAAGAAAGGGGAGAGATGGGAGGAGGTGGAAGAAGAGGGGAGGAGGGTGAGAAGACAGGACGGCGTTCTAAGGTGAGGTGAGAAGGAAAAGCTTGGGTGCGGTAATCCGGTGGGGGAGAGGGTGGGTATCAAGAAATTCATAGAAATGGGATGAGAAGATGGTGGATTTTTCATGAACTCGTGGAAGTCCTGTCACACTGGGCGGGACAAGATGACCTGGGTAGGGAGAGGTGGGACAGGAATGAATGGTTCTACCACGCTCGCAGCACTTGGGCACTGAGAAGGTGGCAGAGTGTCCTCACCCTCACTAGGGGACGGTTTGGGAGTTCTCTGAGCAGCAGGGCTATCTTCTCCCTGCAGGGTGGGCTGAAGGCCGTCATCTGGACAGATGTGTTCCAGACATTGGTCATGTTCCTAGGGCAGCTGGCAGTTATCATCGTGGGCTCAGCAAAGGTGGGCGGCCTGGGGCATGTGTGGGAGGTGGCTGCCCAGAATGGCCGCATCTCTGGCATCGAGTAAGTACCCTCCTTCCCTGTTAGGCTCTGCAGTGCCTGGGAGTCAAGCCCCCTGTGCCTGATCTCAGGGCTTCAGAAAACACGGGAGAAACCGACCCTGGGGGTGGGGCATGGGGAGGATCCCAGATGGCCCAGGGTGGGATGGTGGGGGGTTGGAGATGTGGGGACCACTGCCCCCAGCTCACCACCCTGCTCTGGGGTCCCCCAGCTCGAGCTGTCAGCGTTGGCCCTCGCCCCATGCCCCTGCTTCACTCTGCCCACTGTGGCTGGGAGTGGGGAGGGGGCTAGGGTGCCGTCTGAGAGCTGGGAGCATGGCACAGCACTCGGTGGCATCTGTTGCAGGCTGGATCCAGACCCTTTTGTGCGGCACACCTTCTGGACGCTGGCCTTTGGGGGCGTGTTCATGATGCTCTCCTTGTATGGGGTGAACCAGGCCCAGGTGCAGCGCTACCTCAGCTCCCGCACGGAGAGGGCGGCCATGCTGTGAGTGCAGGGCCGGGGGGGTCGGGGCTGAGGAACAGGATACATCCCTACTCACAGTGATCCGCCCGTGAGCCCCTCTCTGGAAGTGTTGGGGGGTGTCTGCATGCCCCTCCCCCCTCTCAGCACTGGCCTTTCCTGCAGCTCCTGCTATGCCGTGTTCCCCTGCCAGCAGGTGGTCCTGTGCATGGGCTGCCTCATTGGCCTGGTCATGTACGCCTATTACCAGGAATATCCTAAGAGCGCCCAGCAGGCCCAAGCAGCCCCTGATCAGGTGAGAAGGCTCCCAGGTCCACTTCTGTGTTCATGAGGGGCCAGTCGGCCCCAGGGGGAGCGGCACAGTGGCTGCAGAAAGAACTGCTGCCCTGGGCAAGAGACAGCTCTAGGTCCTTTCCTGTTCTGGGATTCAAGGACGCCAGCAGCAGGCGATCACCAGGCCAAAGCTTCGCACTTGCACTGGGGGTGGGAACCTGTCTGCCAGCAGTGACTACCCACTCTGAGCAGCTCTGCTGGGAGCTCTCACACACCGGGGATCATTCAGCCTCCCAGCAGCCTGGTTACACGGAGCAGACAGTGGACCCTCAAGAAAATGGGGGTAACTAGCATGCCTCGAACCGGTCAACAGATTCCCCTCAGTGGCAGCCACCCCATCCTGGCACCCTGGGGAGAGATGCTCTCTGAGAGGGCTGTGACCTCTGCTCTGTTGCAGTTTGTCCTGTACTTTGTGATGGATCTCCTGCAGGGCCTGCCAGGCCTGCCCGGGCTCTTTGTTGCCTGCCTCTTCAGTGGCTCGCTCAGGTACCCCGTCCGCCCTTACCTTCAGGCTCGTGAAAGGGACCCTGCTTGGTACTGGTGACTTGGAGGGAGATGGGGGGTGGGGGTGGGGGGCGTTCCTCTGCATGTCTCCTTGGACCCATCCTCTTGGGGACAGCTCTGTGCAGGACAGAGCCTAACCTTGCCCTAGGGCCGCCCCCTTGTGGTTAGTTCGTGATGTGCATAAATGAAGGCCTAGCCCCTCTGTCATCCGAGGACAGTTTTTGGTACTGCACATGTCATCTCTCTCACTGTAAGATGTTAATCTCTCCAAAGAAACTAGAGATTTTCTAGTCCTGCCTTTCTTAGCTGCCAGATTCAACCCAGCTTGCCACCCTTGTCTTTCCCACAGCACCATATCTTCAGCTTTTAATTCACTGGCTACAGTGACGATAGAAGACCTCATTCGACCCAGGTTCCCTGAGTTATCTGAAGCCCAGGCCACTCGGCTTTCCAAGATCCTTGGTAAGAGTCTCATCCCTTCAGTCTTGGTCTTCCTGAGAATCTGTTTACCACCGAATGCACCATGGCGACTAGCTTCAGTGCGCCTGCTTTGTTCTGGGCTCGGCACTTGGCTGACAAAGCAGCACACAGCCTTTGCCTCTCAGACCATTTTCTGAGACATCTGAGTCTCATCAGAGTGAGGACGGGGTGGCCTAGTGCAGGGCCATGAGGTCATTATAGAGGGAAGGGAGGCGTCCAGGGCAGGGGTGATGTATATTCTGCTTCCAGAGCCAGAGGGGTGGTGATTTGGCTGGGGATGGGCTGCTCTTTGCTTTTTTGTTTAATGTGTAAAATCTGCTTGTGTTCTTCCTTCTCCTCCCCCCAGCCTTTTGCTATGGACTGCTGTGTCTGGGAATGGCCTATGTCTCCTCCCAAATGGGACCTGTGTTGCAGGTAATGACACTGGAGGAAAGAACTAACATAGGCAATTGAGGAAGATGCCTCTTTGGAGGGAAAGACACAGGGGCGGGCGGGTCTCAGAAATTCCCCCTTGATGGGCCAGCTGTGGCTATTGAACAGGCGCTCAACTAATAAAAGCCGGAGTGCCATTCCTCCTGGACATTGTCTGTTCAGGGATCTAAGACAAAAGCCGTGCCTGCCCTCTGGGATCCTGAGCCCCAATTCTCCAAGTGGAAGGTCAGACAGAAGGATCTGAGGAGCTGTGCTCGCCACTGCTGGGCTGGGGGTCTCTGAGCCTGTGTGTTCTCCTCAGGCGGCAATCAGCATCTTTGGCATGGTCGGGGGACCGCTGCTCGGACTCTTCTGTCTTGGGATGTTCTTTCCTTGTGCCAACCCCTTGGTGAGTGACGCATCTGGCTCAGTGGCCCCATGGAGGGGGCGGGAGCAGGGTGGTGGTGCAGCAGAGTGCTCAGTGCGAGTGCTGGGAGCTGGGGTGGAGGTTTGGTGGTGGGGTGGTGGGTCAGTGGAGGGCTGACAGGGGACCCGGCTCTGAGCAGGGAGCCATAGTGGGCCTGTTGGCGGGACTGATCATGGCCTTCTGGATCGGCATTGGAAGCATCGTGACCAGCATGGGCTCTGGTGTGGCACCCTCTGCACCCAACAGCTCCAGCTTGTCCCCGCCCACGAATATGACCACCATCACCATGGCTACACTGATGCCCTTGACCACTGTTTCCAGGTGAGTGGGCTCATACTCTTAGAGACTGTCACCTTGGGGGGGGGGGGCATATTCCTGGGGCCACTAGAGGCCTCGGAGGTGTGGGGACCCAGGGCTCTGGGTGCCTGGAGGTATGAAGAGTGAGATGCCTGAAGAAGACTCTGTCCAGAGTGTTCATGGTCCCCACCCGTCTGTCTCCCCAGGCTCACGGGGCTCCAGCGGCTCTACAAGTTGTCCTACCTGTGGTACAGTGCCCACAACTCCACCACCGTCATTGTGGTGGGCCTCCTTGTCAGTCTGCTCACTGGTGAGGCTGGGGGATGTGGCCAGAGGCACGGGCAGAGGGGACTGGAGTCTGGGACGCCCTGCCCTCCTGCTTCGGGATGATGTCTGCAGCGTGACATCTGGGAGGTGGGCTGGGCTCAGAATCGTGGAGCCTGGAGGCAGAAGGCACTCCATGTAGGAATCTCACAAACATCTTTGCCTCTAGGGGGCATGCGGGGTCGGACCCTGAACCCTGGAACCATTTACCCTGTGTGGCCAAAGGTCCTTGCTCTCCTGCCCTTGTCCTGCCAGAAGCGACTGTCCTGCAAAAGCTATAGCCAGGTAGTGCGTGTGCTATCCATGTCACCCTCCCCCCATCCTTTCTCCACAGTCCCTGCTTGCCTGAGCCTGGACACCCCTGCAGCTGCCCCAGCTTCTTCCATGGGAGCTCTGGCTGACCGCCCCTACACCCCACAGCCTTGCTGTCCCCCTGCCTGTGTTTGCCCCTCCCCTTGGCTCCCCTCCTCTGCCTGCTGATTTCCCAGCTAGCAGGGATCCCAGCAGTCTTGGCTCCTTTTCTTGATGAGTTCCTTCACCCCACCCACACCTTCCTCCTCGGGCTGTGTGTTCCCTAGGACTCCCCTGTGGGCGGCCCTGTGTCTCCGGAGAAGATGGGGAATGGAATGCTGTGGGGCAGCAGAGACCAGGAGGCCCTGGCTGTGCCTGAGGCAGGCGCCACCCACCAGGGCAGCAGCCCCACCTTCATCCTCCAAGAGACCTCACTGTGATCCATACTCGGGACCCAAGTCTCCACAGTCATCAGACAGCCAAGTGGCTACCGAGTCCCCTGACGTGTTCTGAACGGTGGTTAAGGACTAGGAGGACCCAGCCCACACCGAAGGGCCTTGTTGTTAGAGGCTCTCACCTGAGGCAAACCTTGTCCCATGGTGGGGGGGTGACAGACAGGGTTGTTCCTTTTCCCTCACCAGTCTCTTCTCGCAAGGACCAGGCTTTCAGCAGGATTAGGCCAGAAAACAGGATAGACGGTAACCCTCCAAGAGGGCCATGCCTTCTGATTCCACATGGCCCAGCTCCTCTGAAGGGCAGTGAAACAGCATTTCTGGTTCTAACTGCCCTGGGATCTCCGCCGGCAAGACCGACCCCCGGTAGTACAACACTGCTAGCCGCCTGCGCCAGCTGTGGCCTCTCTGGCAGTCCCGTCGAAGCACCGATTCTGCCGTCACACGGGGCTGCTATCACTACTCTCAGGTTTTCTGGGACACCTTTGTCTGTCTCACCCTTCTCTGCCTACCTCCACTCTCGAGAGGGAAGAGTCTGGTGCCCGTGGGAGGCCTCTGGAATGGACCCTGGACAGGTATTCATCTCCTCCGTTCAAGGAAAGGAGGGAACTAACTCCCCCACAACTACCCTTTCCTGGTGATGCAAGGCAGCCAGCGCCGGGCCACCCCATGTCAGCTTGTCACCGGTGCTCCTTTCCTTTTGGAGCTTGTCCCCTCGTATTTGTTCCTAGGGAATAAAAACTGCCACCGGGCCAGTCATCTGGGCTCCTGTCCTGTCTCAGCTGCTCTTGTCTGACAAGCCAGCTCCCTCTGGGACAGGCGGCCTCCCTCTGCTGAGGTAGGGCCAGTGCGGCCTCACTGGTTCCAGGTCTCTGAGACCAGACATTTCCAGGGGTGTGGTTTTTGAGTTGCTCCTGATAGGACATTTGAAGTAGACCCATGATCTTGGGAAGAACACTCCTAGGCTTTATTGCCCCGAAGCACCTCTGGCCAAGCTCTCTGGTCCCAGGCAGGTATATGGGGTCAACCTCAGTGGACGTCTCAAGGCCCCCAGCCACAAGCCCGCTGCCTTCCCACAGCCCCACCGCGCAGGCTGAGCCCGTTCTGTTTCTCCTCTCTATCCACCCTGACTGGCTGAGTCACCCCTCAGCCCCATTTCTCCGCTGCCCAGGCTGGCCTGTGGTGGGACAGCAGCCTATCAATCATGCCAGCAACTAGACTTCAAGCCACTATCAGCCCGCCTAGATAATTTCTAGGGAGTCTTGGCAGCATAGTGTGTGTGTGTGTGTGTGTGTGTGTGTGTGTGTGTGTGTGTGTGATGAATGCATTGGGCTGCTAACCTCAAGGTCAACAGTTCAAAAATCACCAGCTGCTACGAAGGAGAAAGATGAGGCTTTCTACTAGTCTTGCCAAAGCCCAAAGGGGCAGTTCTACATACCCTGTGGGGTCACCATTAGTTGCAATCTACTTGATGGCAAGTGAGTTTGAGTTTTTTCAGTTTGAAGACCATTCCTACACTGGGCCTGAAACCAGTCTTGGATTTTTTCCTAATCCACAAGACTCGAATTCATGAAACTCCTTCTTGGTATGGCCTTCAGCTACCTGTCTGATATTCAGGTCAGAGACTCATCCACTAAAGTTGCCACCTTTCCGGGGAGCCTAGGAGATGGGCCCCAGGGAGCAGTGGAGGATGATATCCTCCTGACTTCATCGTTAGAGTGGCAACAAGAGAGTGTGCGCGCATGTGTACACACACACACCAACCCCAGGGCTTCAAATGAAAGCAGAGCCCAGCTTTCCTTAAGGGTTAGAGTTCCAGTCAGTGACAGAAAGGTAATGAGCCTGTAGTTCTTAGGAAAGACTCGCTTTTTTCATACCAAGGTCCGTGGGAATGATTAAATCTGTCTTGCCAGGCCACCAAATTCACATCTTGTGCCCTGGCTTAAGTGCCTGGTAGAAATGGCTTCTGAAGAAAGAGCTTAACTTA